CTTCTGAAATGGTTTAATGTCAGCTACCCCCCTTTTTATATAATAATTGTGCATTTTTCCTCTTAATGTTTCTTGCATTGTCCAACATTTTGCCTATACTGTACATTCTACACCAGGGTGATAGAACAAAACCCTGATTTGTAGGAGTTTAAGAGAAAATAATAGGAGCCCTAGTGGGCCTGTGGTTTCCCATTGGATTGCTAACTGCAACATCAGCAGTTCAAAACCAAAGGCACCTGAGTGGGAGAAAAATAGGACTTTCTACTCCCGTAAAGAATTATAGTCCAGTGACTCACAGAGGCAGTTCTAGCCTGTCTAAAAGGGTCGCTATTAGTGGGTATCAATCTGATGGCAGTGAGAAGAGAAGGTGTAGATGAGAAGATGGAAACAGTGATTATAAATCACTCTGCGTATTTTCAAATGGAGAGGGAAAATAGAATGGTAGCTGTAGAAGGAAGTTATAGCACATTTTTGGGTTTTCTTTTATGATGTTCTCAGAGCCTGAGTTTATTTTTGTCTTTTTCTTCCCTTGATAGGGATGTACAGGGGGGAAATGGAAAGATAGCAATATAGGAATATAAAAGGATAAGTTCAGGCCAAAATATTTGATTCAGTAAAATGTAAGAGTCGGCATACAATGGAAAATATCTCCTTAGTAGAATAGACCCATCATGCCTTGTTTCAGGAATGATTGAGAATGTGGGTAAAGATGTGGTTGGCCTAGCAAGATTTAATGAGGAGGAGAATAAGACATCCTCTTGTATTTATTTCTTTATGCTGTCAGTGGAATGATGAATAATGGCATTATGTGAGAGGAATAGGAAGGCACGGGTTATCGTATATTTGCAAAGAGAATTTAAATGGTCAACTTTGAAAGTGGGTGAATTTATTGCTGAAGGAGGTGGAGTAATTTACAACCAGTATTGAAGACTAATTTAAGATTTGAGATCATTGTAGTCAATCTTTCTTTAGTGATACTTAACTATTTTAAGTGCAGGTACAAGGATGAAAGAAGTTATGGTTTTACAAGGGTTGGAGTATTGTCTGAAGAGTTCAAGAGTAGGAGAGGAACAAGTAAGGTAAAATATAGTCAAATGAGTGATAACACCAAATAATGGACTGTCAATTGGGGAAATAGGCAATTGAAAACTAAAGGCATGATGAATATTGAAAAGGTGGTAAGGCTTATTGGATTGGTGACCACTTTTTAATTGCATAATTTTAGCTTTGGGAATATGAAACAAAGTAATCAACAAGATAGGAAGCAAGATTCAAAGATTGGATGGTTGAAATTGATCATTGAAGTTGATGTACTGACAATAACAAGATCTAGAATCTATTTCCCAAAGTGGGTGATAATACCCCTTGTGTGTGGTGGGACTCTGGAATGATTCAGGGGGAAGGGATGCAGAAGCAGATATCTACACTTTATCCTGCATTATGCGTTGTAGTACAAAAGTTTTTAATTGCCAGGCAGGCACAGAGTAAATTTTTTTTCCTGAAAAGTTGGCAATAGGCCAAATAAATTTGGGAACATATTCTGTAGAGTAGAACTGCGGAGTTGCTGTCTGTGGTGAGGTGAAGGATAAAATTAATGGAGGGGATGAGATCAAAGAGATGAAGTCATGCTTTTAATACATAGACTTTGTTGATATTTAAATTAAGAGCATTGATATAAGTAATCACGGAGTGGCAGAGAATAATTCAGGACTAAGAAGACTCAGGTAAAAAGAAGAAGGGGGGTCATGAGTGATGAGGCTGTAATTGATTGTGGTGGAATAATTAATGGGTAATACAATCTGATGGCATAAACTTTAAAGAAACTGTAGTGTTTTATGAAAAGGGGGAACAAATGGCCTGGAAATGGCAATGGGGAGCAAAGAAGACACCAACATCACTTTCTGGTTCAGTGATGAAGTAAAAATAGGAGGAAAAGAAGAATAAGCCTGACCTGGAGATTCTGTAGGAAAGTCCATTTTTTAAATGATTTGTTGTGAATTAGGTGGTGGAGGGCGGATTGACATTTCAGACCATCAACTCTGCATTCAGTAGTTCAAGCCACTCATCAAACACCCATCCCCCATATTTTATTTCACCCCTTCTCCCCTAATGTCACTTCTCCTTTTTAAGGTGAAGCAAAAGAATAGAAAGCTGACAGGTATCGACAGGTAAAAGAGAGTATGGAGTTCCATAAGGAAGTCAGTGTTCTTGGGCAGAAATCAGCTTTCAATCGGGGCAAGGAGCTGATAGGAACATTCTTCCTGAAATATTGAAAATAGAGGAGATAGTGCATAAAATAAACCATATTTCAGGGGTGGGTGGTGGGGAGGGAAGATTGATATAGGAAGTCAGGAAGTCTTGTAGTGGAATCAGAGTCGAAAATGGACAAAACCACTTGAGGATCAGAGTTCAGGTGGTAAAGAGATGACCTGTGAGGTTTGAGAATCTTGTGGTGACTGGGGTGTAGATCATGATAAGGTTTGTCCTGGTAGTCTTGTTTGGGGAGGAGCTCAGTAAGGTCTAATTAAGTTGTAAGGCTGTTTGTGGTGCTGAGAAATTTGAATATTTGCAAATTTAGTACTTCAACATATATCAGAGATCTGAGTTCAATTCTTGGCCAATACTAATGATGCACAGTCATCACCTATCTATCAGTGGAAGTGTGTGTTGCTGTGATGTTGAACAGGTTCAACAGTGCTGCCAGATTAAAATGGACTAGGAAGAAAGTCTTGACAGATCACTAGTCCGAAATCAATCACCCGATGAATCCCGTACAAAGTTGACCTGCAACCCAGAATAGGGATGGCACATGAGCCTGAAGCATTTTATTCTCTTATGCATGGACTCACCAGGCGTGAGGTGACTTGACATCAGTCTGCACCAACATCACTGGAAGCACGAAACAAGTAAGGGTGAATTCCTGTCTTGGTGTTAAAACAGAGGGCAAATAATTTAACAGGTAACTAAAATAAAGGTAAGAGTTCTCTGAGACTGAGATTGTGAGTGCTCACCAATGTCCGTGTTAGTGTCACTTTTTTATGGAAGCCAGCTAGACTATACTTTCTAGTTCTACTGGCATCTAGTGTAGTTATGTCCTTACTTTGGCCAAAGGAATGCAGGTGGCAATGACTTACAACTCTTCTAGAAATGTCTCCTCAAATAGCTTACAAATGACTCCATACTCTCTCTCTTCATTCACTACCATCCAGATGGAGAGAATACAGGTGAGGACTCTAATTCCTTCAAAGATGATAGAAGTCCTTGAATGGCCGTGAGGAGTAGAGCCTTCCATAGGCTCGTATGGAGTATAATTTGTTGTGTTGGGCCATATAAATATTGACATTATGATTCAGTTGGCTAACCCTGACTAATTTATATTAAGATGGGATGTGGATAAAGGACAAAGCACTTGTCTTCTATGTGGGTAATTGATTAACTTTTGGTGAATATTGTAATTCAGATTCCAAGGAAGCTTCATAAAAGTGTGGGAGTATTTCCATTATTAGACAGCTTTACCATTAAAATTTACTCTTGATTGCAAAATTGCATTTGGACCATGAGGACTATACAGTATGACTCTTGAATATGATTGACATTTGTAACTAGGTTTCTCCATTACAATGTAGTAGTGTGTGTGTGAGAGAGAGACAGAGAGAGACAGAGAGACAGATAGACAGAGAGACAGAGAGAGACAGAGAGAGTTTAATGATCCTGGAGAATCATAAAGGTGTGCATGTGACTTGATTTTCACTCTAGAAAAATATGGTCAAGGAGAAGAGAGACTAATTTAATTTTTTTTGTAGAAACACAGTAGGATACAGTGGCCACATAAACTATATTTAAGGCGGTGGATTAAAAAATATCGGTTATGACATAATTCATATAACACTTGTGATCCAAGGTGAGTTGAATCTATGGATGGAGAACTCATGTACACAGAGGGCAAATTCCTAATTGAATGAAATCTACTTCCCCTTATTGATGGATTCCTTTGTTACTGGAAGAAGTGCATGTCAGATCTGAAATACTAATCTATATGGCTACAAATATATATGTCCTAGATAAATGTATTATTTTGGAAATGTAAACACACTGTCTGACTTCTTTTTATTTTTTTAAATTTATTTTTTGCTTTATTTTATTTTTAATCATTTTTTTAGGGGCTCATACAACTCTTATCACAATCCATACATACATCAATTGTGTACAGCACATTTGTACACTCCTTGCCCTCATCATTCTCAAAACATTTGCTCTCCACTCAAGCCCCTGGCATCAGGTCCTCATTTTTTCCCTTCCCCCTTCCCCCTCCCTCATGAACCCTTGATAATTTATAAATTATTATTTTGTCATATCTTGCCCTGTCCAATGTCTCCCTTTACCCACTTTTCTGAACTGCAAAGATTACTTGTATCTTATGATCTTTTTTGAATATGGTGAATATTTTGAAATATGTTCATTTGGGAAGATAAAATAGCACAATTCAAGTTTCTGTATTATTAAAGCTAAGTAGTTTTTAATTCCACTTTGGGATCCTGATGGGGATACTAATTTCACTATTAAATGAAGCTAACAATATTTTGAGCATGGATTTAAGCAAATGGTTTACATAATAACTGTCATAATTGCATCATTGAAATTTTAATTTAAGCTGGAACTCTATAAGTGCTTTCAGCCCACACAATTACTTTAAGATCCTTCCCATGTTGTAGCTAACATCATGAGCCCACGATTTTTTGGTAAGAGTAATTCTGCTTTTATTTTTACACAGAATGTATACTCTGTTGTGATAGTAATAATATCACAGAGATGTGAAAAGTACCGGTATATATATGAATGTTGATCTAATAGTTGAGAAAAGCACCGATGAACAGTGTGGAGATGGCCATTGAGAAATGTTTATAAGCATTAGTTCTGAACTTTACCCAGGCTGTCTACCACGGGCTTTGATGTCTAAAGTGAAGGGAACATGGCTTGGTAGGGAGTAAGAACACAAAGCCCTACTGTTCTTCTTCTGGAGCGTCATCAATGGGGCTCGGCTTCCGTGATAGTATAGTAGGGGTCTTCACCTTATCATACGTCCATTTCTTTCTTTTAAACATCCTTTCAATTATACTTGGCATGGGGTAGCCTTTGCTGAGGATGAAATCCTTGAAAGCGATTGTACCATAAAGCTCCTCCAGAATGTCAGGCCCATTGTCTAACCTTCTAAAACCGGTGTCCTCATCTTCCTCTGGGGCATTGGGGTCAAGCAGAGGCTCGTCTACTCGTAATTTTTTCCACAGCTTGACAGGCAGGTACCACGCTCCGTACCTCATTTTCACGGGTTCCTTCGGAGGAGCCAACTGCAGTGCTTGCAGCTTTTTCTCGAAGTCTGGTTCGTTCAAGGAGAACCTTGGTTGGTCCTGTCTTGCGGGCCAGTGGACTTTCCTCAAGCTTTTAGGAATTCGGGCTACTTCCTTAATGTGGGATCGTCCAGTGTTTGCTTTCCAGCCAACGAATGGGTCGAACTTTCTCATCATATAATCTTTATCAATGTCCGTACACTCATATGAATGAGCCCACCTGCAGAAGTCAGCAACTGCTCGGGACACGTTTTCTGGAGTCGGAGGGTGCGGCGGTGGCTCCTCCACTTGCTTCATCTCTTTCAGCCACTCGTCCGGATCCGGGATGGGAGCCAGATTGCGAAGGCTCCTGCAGGGCTTTAGCGGACGATCTTTTAGTAGCTCTGCTGGATCCTTCGTTCTTTTCTTGCCGTCCTGACAATAAGCCCAGGTGTCCTTCAGCTCCTTGTCGGGATCTAGCACTTCCAGCACTTTTTCTAAGAGCTCCGCAGGCAATGCATCTTCCAGATCGGGGCAGTCCTCCAAAGGATGTGCCTTTGCCTTCAGACTGGCCTCTGTCTCCTCCACGAAGGCCTTGCGTGCTAGCTGGGCTGCCGAGAGCTTGGAAAACAGGGTTGAGTTTTTGGACGCCTTCTTCTGGCAAGTCTTTGGGGCAGGTGTGGCCTTTGTCCGGTAAATTAAAGGGAAAGGTGCGTCCTTACAACCCCTGGTTATCATCTCACCGCAAGGTGGGCAACCTTTCCTGAAGTCGTCCACCTCCTTTTTGACGAACACCCAATTCTGGCTGTTCAGGTGCGGGGCGAACGTCGGCCCGTCTTTGGACCTTGGCACGTAACGGAAGCTTGGCTTCTCTTTATACCAGGGGTTTCTCTTCGTGCCTGGGGGCAAAGGTTCCAGCTCTGGAAACCGGGACCGTGGCCTCTGGCGGTCCATGGTGGCCCGGACTTTCTGCTGACCAGCTTCAGCTTGTTGTCCAGCAGAGATTCTGGTTACCATGGGACCACCTGACCTTACATCGCTCAGGTTCCTTGACGCTCGGCCCCCCAGGTTCCACGCGTGCAGCCCTGAGCCCAGGGTGACTGCCCGGAACTCTTACTGCACTGCCAACCCTGGGCAGCTTGGGCCGTTTAATTGTCTCTCACACATTGCCATCAAGGGCATGCTGACTCACAGCGACCCTGGAGGATTGGGTAGAATGGGCCCCGTGGGTTCCCGCAACGGTAACTCTCTGGGCGAGTAGAAAGCATCGGTTTTCTTCTTTGTAGCAGCTGGTGATTTCCCACTGCTGACCTTGTGGATCGCAGCTCAACTTGTCACCACTACCTCCCAGAGCTCTTTTCACTGCAGTGTGTGGTATATGGGTTGACCACACCTTCTCAGGGACCTTTGGGTTTCCAGTTTGAGACTATCTCAAATGCTGTGATCATTTGTGTGCAGATCTGTATGCCTGCGTTTCGCTTCTCTTGGGTACACAACCACGGTCTGATGTCTGGGCTGAGTGAAAACTATGTTTAAAGTATCAAGAAACTACTAGGCTCTTTCTTCTTAAGTGGTTTTACTGCTTGACATCCCATCGAGCAATGTATGAGAGGAGTTATTCATCATTTTGCCAGTATTTGGTACAGAGGGTCATCTCAATTTTGCCTGTTCTGAGCTCTGGTGACCCAGTGGGTTACAAGTTGTCCTGTTAACCTCAGTGTCATCAGTTAGAAATCACCAGCCGCTTTAGGGGGGAAAGACGAGGCTTTCTTTCCCATAAAGAATTATACTGTCAGAAATCCTGTTACAAGGGCAGTCTACCCTGCCTTATGGAGTCGATATGAGTCGGAATGGACTCCATGGTAGTGCATTTGGGTTTGGGGTTAGTGTGCAGTTGACTGGTATCTCCATGTCATTTTAATTTGCCTTTCCCAAATGGCTGCTCTTTTTAAGTGTCCTTTAAAATACTTAATTGACATCTTTCCTCTCCTTTGGTGAAGTGTCTGTGCAAATTTTAAAGTAAGTTGTTTGATATGATTATGAAGTTTGAGAGCTACGTAACACCCAACACCCATGGCACTGAGACCAGAAGTACTAGAAGGTGCCTGGCTTCCATTGCTGAGCACTGTGAAAGAGATCACAAAAAGAAGTCCTGCATAAAATAGGAGAAAAACTATGGATCAAAACTCAAAATCATAAAAGGCTAGGTTTAATGGTTTGAAAGAGCCTGGGGGAACCCCTAAAACTATGGCCTGTAGACACTCTTCGGTCCTAGAACTGAACTCACTCCTGGAGCTCAACTTTCAGCCTTAGAGCAACATCTGGGTATAAGACAGATATATGATTTTCAAATAGGACTAAATAATGAATCAAGGGCTTAGCAAGAAATAAGGGCCTTCCTCATAAAGAAAAGGTAAACATGGACCAAATAGTCTGTAAGGGGCCCGGGTGGGGAAGGAATGGTGAAGAATGAGAAAAGGCCATCAAGACTTTCCTCCAAATTCTTCTAAGGGCTCAGGTGTTCATTCAGTGAGGAGGCAATCGATGTTTACTGTCTATTGTGCCAAGCATGTTCATGCATGGTCGAATTTAATCCTAACAAGTATGAATTTACTTCTGTTACCAACTGCATGTTATCACTAAGAAAAACCAAGGGGCTGAAGTTCTCACAGTTAACGGACAAAACTTGGTGGGATACGAGCTGTCAGGAAGTATCTTTAGATGTTGAACAGAGAACCAAGGTCGTTTTATATTTGTGTATATAAATAAGGGTTGGGAAAGATTATTCAGAGGCAAATGTAGACAGGAGAGAAAGGCTTTAAGGGAAATGTTGCTCTAAGGCTGAAAGTTGAGCTCCAGGAGTGAGTTCAGTTCTAGGACCGAAGAGTGTCTACAGGCCATAGTTGTAGGGGTTCCCCCAGGCTCTTTCAAACCATTAAACCTAGCCTTTTATGATTTTGAGTTTTGATCCATAGTTTTTCTCCTATTTTATGCAGGACCTCTTTTTGTGATCTCTTTCACAGTGCTCAGCAATGGAAGCCAGGCACCTTCTAGTACTTCTGGTCTCAGTGCCATGGGTGTTGTGATTCATGTGGTCCATTAGTCTTTTGGATTAATTAGACTAATTCTATGCTTCTTTTGTTTTCTTCACTCTTTTTTGCTCCAGATGGGGAAAGACTAATAGTTTCACTTTAGATGACCTCTTATAAGCATTTAAGTCTGTAGTATATACTCACCGAAGATGTAAAACATTATCTTAGTGGATTTTGTTATTCTCCAAGACACGAGTCCCCAGTTCCAGGTCATTCCTTTAATATCTTTGATTACAGCTAAGAAGTTTTCATAATATTATACCCTGCATGTTCTACTATATCCATGGATATATTTACAGGACATATAAATACATATCAAGATATCCTCTGTCAAACTTATTTGTGGGTGTAGTTCCATTCTCCTCCTCACCCTTGTTCTGCTTGAGTGTCTACCTATGTATCTGTTCATAGATTATTGTTATTACTGTTATTGCAAGATTGAATATGTGATAATATTTACCTTTGCAGGCTTTAACTCTTAACTCTTGATCATTTTGTGTGGATATCCTCTTAATTGTATCTTGATTGTCTCTCTCCTCACCCAAGCTAATATACATCTCCCTCCAGATAGTCATTTATACTCCATCCCTGCCCTACCCTAGGTAATCATCGGAGAATATTTTTCTATGTACAAAATTTTTCTTTACTTTTTACAATATTTTTATTCAATATTTGTCTTCTAGGTTCATCCATGTTATAAGGTGTTTCAAAGATTCTTCAATATCCTTTAACATTGCATAATATTACATTGTATATATCACATCATATTATCCACTAACCCATTGATGGGCACTTAGGCTGTTTCTGTCTTTTTGCTCTTGTGCATAATGCTATGGTAAATATGGGTTATGCATAAGTCTGTCACTGTTCATATATCCCTAGAATATACACCTAGTAGTAGGTTTACTGAATCACATGGTCTCCCTGTTTCTAACTTTTAAAGGAAGCACATACTATTTTCCATAGTGGATGAGCCATTTACAGTGCTGCCACCGGTATCTGAGAGTTTTAATCTTTTGCTAGTGTCTTCTTTTCTGCTTTCTTTTAAACTTTGCTATATAAATGCTGGGGTGAGATGATATCTCATTGTTGCTTGATTTGCTTGTTACACACTTTTTCTGAAAATTAAAGTTTGTAAACACACCTTTATCTAATTACTAGGCGTGAATAAAGTCTGACTCAAGGCAACCATATGTTTGTGAGAGTAGAACCATGCACCCCAGTGTTTTCAATGGATGATTTTTTGGTAAGTAGTCAGCCCTTTCTTCCATGGTGCATCATGGTGGATTGGAAAAGCCATCCCTGTGGTTAACAACTTAACTCTTTACTCTTTGCACCACCCAGGAACTCCCTAGTGCTCACTAGGGGTGGTGATGTGTGTGAGGTCACAGAACAATGGCCAATATATAGAAAAAAAACAAGGGGTTCACATTTGAGGCACAGAAAGTACCTAAGTTCCAGACTTTTTGTACACTTACTGCATTTTGCCCTTAAAAATAGAAAGATACAATATCAATCATATAGCAAAATCATTAGCAGCACATTGAGAGCTAAGCCTTTTTTGTCTCATAAAGTTTAATAACTTTTCCAAGGTCAAATGACTAGAAAATGATAGAACTGGAATTGACCTTTGAAACATAAACATCAGAATGAATAGCAATGAAGTTCTGTTATGTTGGGTGATAATTAGTTCTCTGTTGTTTTTATTTTCTAAGGTTTCTGTCACATGGTTAACCAGCTTTTAAAAGAAAAAGTAAAGGAAATGACCAATGCAGTTTAAATTGAACGAACAGCACTAGTGACTGTCACATCCTAACAAGTTATCAGACTTCCCAAGTTAAACTAGAGGGAAGGGATCATCACTCCACAGAAAATGAGCTTGTGAGCAGTTGATCTCTGCTGGCATGCCAACGTGGAGGTCCTGACTTCCCAGAGATGCTGAACCAAATACAATCTACCAAATCCATCCTGGGGAAAAATGTCTTCTGTTCCTTCCCTTGCTCCTGTCACAGAATCACAGTCAGCAGTCAGCTCTGCCCTGCAGAGTCTTGCCTCGTCTCTTTGGTTCAGCTGAGGATGAGGGGAGGAAGGTGGGCATGCTTTGATCTAGTGAGGTGGGCCGTGATGGAGCTGTGAAGAACAGGCCCTTTATCATGATTGAGGCCCAGCACTGACCAGCTGGACAATGTTTGACAACTTACTGGACCTCTTCCACCTCAGTTTCCTCATCTGCCATTTGAGGAAGGATCTCTGGAACACTGTTGGTTGTGATCATGTTGTTTCAGGGGCACATTGACATGCTACATGCTGAGCGCTGTGCCAGGTCTGAGTTAGAGCCCAATAGATATGGCTGGTACCATTATAGATTTTCATCGTTTCCCCTTTCTCTTCACAAATGTGACTCTGTGCGAGGCATTGTTCTAAACACTGAGAAGATATTGTGGAGAACAAAACAAATGAAGGTCATAGTGGTTAGACACTAGTGGAGGAAACAGGCTGTGGAGGCACAGGTAGTTCAGTAGGAGACTTTGGTTCAATTCCAACCAGTGCTTCATGTGCAGCCAACATCCATCTGTCAGTAGAGTTTTGCATGTTGTTAGGATGCTGAATAGGAGCCCTGGCAGTGCTGTGGAGCAGGTGATGGGCTGCTTATTTAAAGGTCAGCAGTTCAAGCCCACTAACAGCTCCATAGTAGAGGGATGATCTACCCGTTCTCCAAAAAAAATTTACAAAATAGAAAACCCTCTATAGGGTCACTATGAGTCAGAATAGACTTGAGGCAGTAGATCTGGTTTGATATGATGTTGAATAAGTTTTATCAGAGCTTCCAGACAAAGATGGGCTCAGAAGAAAGGCCTGGCAATCTACTTCAGAAAACCAACCAATGAAAATCCTATGCATCATTCCCCTACTATGCATATACCC